TTTTCGTTAATCTTTCGTCGTATTATTCGCTATAACAGTCTCTTGTTGATCAAGATGGACGATTCAGAAGCTGGTACTCATATACTACCGATTGCTTTGTAGTATTATGACAGGCATTTAACGTCTCCAAGACCTGGTCGCACAGCGTATGAAGACCGATGTAAGATTTTGTTGCCTGCTGCATGTTGCAGGAATTTCGGTCCTTAAGACATCATTCGTGACGAGGAAGGTATTTCTCTAGCGAATGAAGTCGTGCGAGATACATCTAAGTCTGTTGTTGAAGCTTCTGAATCTGTGGTCTGCTTAAAATAGCCTTCATGGCCGCTAGGAACAATGGGTCAGTTTAGGAGCAGTCTTCGTACCTTGCGAGTATATGGAGTAAACAAGTGACTCATGGAAAAGTAGCTGAGTGCATTTCCTGTGATACGATCTCTAACCACTTTGTGTATACTGAGTTCCTTATCTACCGCTTTGAACACTATACGCCTAGTCTACACCCCAGCCGCAGCAATGTGCGTTTAGGTACGAAGTCCTGCCGTAATTTCGATACCATGCAGGAACATTCCCACATGGAGTGCACGCTCAGACATACATTAGGAGAAACAAAGGTTTTCAGTAAAACAGTGCAACTCTGGACGGAATCACTTTTGGAGCCTTGGGATAATGGGATGATTCAAACGATATAGTTATAGACTCGCTGCGCATTAGGCTTTAAAGGCTATGGGTTACGCGATACACTCTGTGCTTCCTGTGAGATCTATAATCCACGTGGCCGCTTTAAGAGTGACAGTGACTTTACAGGTGTCAGTCCAGAAGCGAGAACCGAGGATGAATAAGTAAAAGACTTAGTTCTTCCAGAAGAAACTTTGGGCATTGATCCCTCCAGTGCCGCCGAAGACTCCCAACGACACCGTGTAAATATGTGCATTTGTATAGAGCATTTATTTCAATAAAATTTTAAACACTCAGACGATGTACGAACTTTTCGACATAAAGACGATTCGACCATACACGCTGAACTTAGTCTATCTCTGTGGTACTCGCAGGTTTACCCAAATCCATGTGTGAATCAGGTTTTAACCTTAAATGCA